ATGGTATACAAGTCAAGGACACTAGCCTGTAGTTCAGTGCCTCTTTCCTGTCGCCCTTTTTGTATATTGGGACCACATTCTCCGTCTTCCATATTTCTGGTAGGTCTCCCGTCTCCAGTGACTTACTATACACTATGGAGAGTGACAAGCAAAGTGCCTCTGCACACTCTTTCAGTGTCCATGGTGAGATCCCATCTGAACCAACAGCCTTTCTGACATCCAGATCCAGCAGGTGTCTCTTGACCTCCTCTCTCGTAATTTCGAACTCTTCCAAGGCCGCCTGGTTTACCTCCCTTTCTCCTAGCACAGTGACCTCACCTTGTTCTATTGTGAAGACCTCCTGGAACCTCTTGTTGAGTTCTTCACACACCTCTCTGTCGTTCTCTGTATACCTGTCCTCGCCTGTTCGAAGTTTCAATACCTGTTCTTTCACTGTTGTTTTCCTTCTGATGTGACTGTGGAGTTGCTTTGGTTCGGTCTTGGCTTTGTTTGCTATATCATTTTCAAAACTTTTCGCAGCTTCTCTTCTCACCCTGACATACTCATTCCTGGTTCTCTGGTATCTCTCTCTGCTTTCTGGTGTTCTGTTATTCCGGAAGTTCCTCCACGCCCTTTTGTTCAGTTTCCTCGCTTCCATACATGCCCTATTATTCCAGGGAGAAGTGTGTGGTAGTGTGATTGGGTTGTGTGGTAGTGTGGTGGGGATTGTGGTATGTGGTGGGATGTGTGGTTTTTTGGTGAGATGTGTGGTAGTGTAGTGGGGTTGTGTTGTAGTGTGGAGGGGTTTGTGATAGTGTGGTGGGGTGTGTGGTAGTGTTATGAGGTGTGTGGTAGTGTGGTGGGATGTGTGATAGTATTATGGGGTTGTGTGGTAGTGTGGTGGGGACGTGTTATAGTGTGGTGGAGTGTGTGGTAGTGTTATGGGAGTATGTGGTAGTCTGGTGGGGTTGTGTAGTATTGTGGTGGGCTGTGTGTAGTGTGGTGGGGGTGTGTGGTAGTGTGGTGGGGTTGTGTGGTAGTGTGATGGGGTGTGTGGTAGTGAGGTGGGGGGTGTGGTTGTGTGGTTGGGTGTGTGGTGGGGTTGTGTAGTATTGTCGTGGGTGTGTGGTAGTATGGTGGGGGGTGTGGTTGTGTGGTAGAGTGTGTGGTAGTGTGGTGGTGTTGTGTAGTATTGTGTTGGGGTGTGTGGTAGTGTGGTGAGGTGTATGGTAATGTTATGGTGTATGTGGTAGTGTGGTGGGGGTGTGTGGTAGTGTGGTGCAGTGTATGGTAGTGTGGTGAGGTGTGTGGTAATGTTGTGGGGGGTGTGGTAGTGTGGTAGTGTGGTGGGGTTTGTGGTATGTGGTGGTGTTACGGACCCGAATCCAGCGTCAGAGTACGGAGACATGAAATCAGCGCCATTTGTGAATTGCGAGCCGAAAACCCCGCAACATGGACAACGCCATCTAGCGAGGACGGGATATACCAGCCACAGGGGCTGGTTTCCCGTCTTAATCATCTCGTATCGTAGCCGCTGCTGACCTCAGTTGAGGTGACGCTTAGACAGCAACGCCATCTATGGAGTGGATAGGTGGACGTTTGTGTCTAAGCCTGTAAGTGAGGTGCCATAGAGCGTCCCTAGTACTAATGACGTGTCTGATTACAGAGTCGACCTGGGACTGCTGTATTGGACGATGGATCAGTCTACCCAAGGCAGCCAAAGTCTCTCCACGAGATTGCTCTGAAGAAGCTGTGAGTCACCCCCGGACGAACACTGTTGAGAGTGTTAGCCTGCCTGTGACGTGGCAGTATCAGGAATCGCCTTATCCGGGGCTGGCTGGTGGAAGAGACTAGCCACTCTGGTGCATAGTTAGAAGAGTGATCAGCGGGATCACACGAGGTTCCTGCCTAGGGCTCGCTACCCTAGTATCGGTCGTGGAGTGGCCTACACAGCGGAGCTGATCGGAACCTACCAGCTAACGGCTGGATTGTGGTTGAAGACCTCCACGACACGACGTAGCACCCAGTGGGACTGTGATTTGGCTGGCTTGTGGCCAGGGTAGATTCGCCGAGAGAATCCAAGAGGATTCATCGTGGGCCGAAGAGAACCAGGGCTACTCAAAGTGCGCACCGTGGAGCATCCTGTGTCTTCAGAGGAAGACAACACTGTACATTAAAGTGTGTTTATAACCCCGTGTGACTGTTTATATATTTATTTATGGTGGTGGTTAATATATATAAATAAATCAGAGCATGTGTATCCCTCCTCCTTTAATTTAACTTGTGTTACGGAACACATCCCTTGAAAGCCTCTACTAGCTTGGGGGCCGGATTCCCAAATTCTAATAACACCAGAAAAGAACCCGGTTACGCCCCAGTAGGGCCGTAATAGGTGGGATGTGTGGTTGTTTGGTGGGTTGTGTGGTAGTGTAGTGGGGTTGTGTGGTAGTGTGGTGGGGTGTGTGGTAGTGTTGTGGGGTGTGTGGAAGTATGGTGGGGAGTGTGGTAATATTATGGGGTTGTGAAGTAATGTGGTGGGGTTGTGTGGTAATGTGGTGGGGTTGTGTATTATTGTGGTTGAGTGTGTTAGTGTTGTGGTGTGTGTGGTAGTGTGGTGAGGTGTGTGGTTGTGTGGTGGGGTGTGTGGTAGTATTATGGGGTTGTGTGGTAGTGTGGTGGAACTGTGTGGTAGTGTGGTGGAGCTGTGTGGTAGTGTGGTGGAGCTGTGTGGTGGAGTGTGTGGTACTATGGTCGGGTGTGTGATAGTATTGTGGGGTGAGTAGTATTGTACTCACCTAGTTGTACTCAGTTGTGCTTGCGGGGGTTGAGCTCTGGCTCTTTGGTCCCGCCTCTCAACCGTCAATCAACAGGTGTACAGGTTCCTGAGCCTATTGGGCTCTATCATATCTACACTTGAAACTGTGTATGGAGTCAGCCTCCACTACATCACTACCTAATGCATTCCATTTGTCAACCACGCTGACACTAAAAAAGTTCTTTCTAATATCTTTGTGGCTCAATTGGGCACTCAGTTTCCACCTGTGTCCCCTAGTGCGTGTGCCCCTTATGTTAAATAGCCTGTCTTTATCTACCTAACAATTCCTTTGAGAATCTTGAATGTGGTGATCATGTCACCCCTAACTCTTCTGTCTTCCAACGAAATGAGGTTTAATTCCCGTAGTCTCTCCTCGTAGCTCATACCTCTCAGCTCGGGTACTAGTCTGGTGGCAAACCTTTGAGCCTTTTCCAGTTTATTCTTATCTTTGACTAGATATGGACTCCATGCTGGGGCTGCATGCTTCAGGATTGGCCTGACATATGTGGTATACAAAGTTGTGAATGATTCTTTACACAAGTTTCTGAATGCCGTTCGTATGTTGGCCAGCCTGGCATATGCCGCTGATGTTATCTTCTTGATATGGGCTGCAGGAGACAGGTCTGGCGTGTCATCAACCCCCAAGTCTTTTTCCTTCTCTGGCTCCTGAAGAATTTCCTCTCCCAGATTATACCTTGTATCTGGCCTCCTGCTCCCTTCACCTATCTTCATTACATTACATTTGGTTGGTTTAAACTCTAACAACCATTTATTCGACCATTCCTTCAGCTTGTGTAGGTCTTCTTGAAACCTCAAACAGTCCTCTTCTGTCTTAATTCTTCTCATAATTTTGGAATCGTCCACAAACATTGAGAGAAATGAATCTATACCCTCCGGGAGATCATTTACATATTTCAGAAACAAGATAGGACCGAGTACAGAGCCCTGTGGGTTTCCACTGGTGACTTCACGCAATCGGAGGTCTAACCCCTCACCGTAACTCTCTGCTTCCTATTGCTTAGATACTCCCTTATCCACTGGAACACCTTACCAGCTACACCTGCCTGTCTCTCCAGCTTGTGTACCAGCCTCTTATGCGGTACTGTGTCAAAGGCTTTCCGACAATCCAAGAAAATGCAGTCCGCCCAGCCCTCTCTTTCTTGCTTAATCTTTGTCACCTGGTCGTAGAATTCTATTCAGCCAGTCAGTCACGGTTTACCCTCCCTGAACCCATGTTAGCGTTTTGTCACGAAGTCCTTTCTCTCCAGATGTGACACCAGTTTCTTTCTCACGATCTTCTCCATCACCTTGCATGGTACACAAGTCAAGGTAGTAGTGTGGTGTGGTGTGTGTGGTAGTGTGATGGAGTGTGTGGTAGTGTGGTTGGGTGCGTGGTAGTGTGATGGGGTTGTGTGGTAATGTGATGGGGTGTGTGGTTGGGTGTTTGGTAGTGTTGTGGGGTTGTGTAGTAGTGTGGTCAGGTTGTGTGGTAGTGTAGTGGGGTGTGTGGTAATGTGGAGGGGCTGTGTGCTAGTGTGGATGAGTTGTGTTGTAGTGTGGTGGGGTGTGTGGTGGGGTTGTGTGGTAGTGTGGTGGGGCTGTGTGTAGTGTGGTGGGGTTGTGTGTTAGTGTGGTGGGGTTGTGTGTTGTGTGGTGGGGTGTGTGGTAGTGTGGTGGGGTTGTGTGGTAGTGTGGTGGGGTTGTGTGTTAGTGTGGTGGGTTGTGTGGTAGTGTGGTGGGGTTGTGTGGTAGTGTGGTGGGGTTGTGTGGTAGTGTGGTGGGGTGTGTAGTAGTGTGGTGGGTGTGTGGTAGTGTTGTGGGGTTGTGTGTAGTGTGGTGGGGTTGTGTGGTAGTGTGGTGGGGTTGTGTGGTAGTGTGGTGGGGTGTGTGGTAGTGTGGAAGGGTCGTGTGGTAGTGTTTCGGACATGACAATAGCACCACTGTCGCTCACGTCACAAATAATAAATTATCAAATAAGAATTGGTGAGATGTCGGATATTTTAATAGTGATATATTCTTAACAATTTTAACTTGATCTTCCTCTCATAAATTTAGGGTGGAAAATAGTTATGCATAATATGTAGAGTCGGTACATGTCACTAGTATATACAAATATTCATCTTTAACAGCTTATTTCAATATCTTACATATAGTACTGGAGTAGTGATGGTTTTTGTATAATACCAATTGTGGTATATGTTGACAGGCAGGACAGCCCTTCACATAGCAGCCTCATATGGTCGCGACAACACTGTGAAGGTCCTCCTCGACGCTGGAGCAGACGTCAACGCTAAAGATGATACCGGTAAGAGTCCCACTTATGGATCCCAAAATTATATAACACTCATGTCACACAACACACCACACTTATCATGTGACAAAATGCAATATTTATATATTGTGTTTTTACCAAAGGAGAGAATGACTGTCTGTTTATAGTAGGAGGTCAAACTTTTCAAATAAAATATTGTCCTAAAGTATTCTGACCATTATTCACTGATTTTATGAAAATTAAGAGTAATTTCCTGTTGTGAATAATTTGGCCGTACTAGCATCAAACAGACAATTCTCCCTCAGCGTCAACAGTTTCTCAAGCAACTGCTCTATACTAGAGTAAGGGTAACTATTGTGTTTTATTACTTCACACCACTGAGCTGCTCCCACTGCCGACCACCACACTTAGACCATTGAATTTTGTATAAGAGACAGAAAGAGAGAAACAGAGACACAGAGAAACTCAGAAACAGAAACACAGCTGGAGAGAGAGAGAAACAGACAGAGAGAAGCAGAGACAAAGATAGAGCAAGAGAATGAAACAGACAGTAGGTAAAAGGATAGATGGATAGACGAATAGGCGCATGAATAAATAGATAAGCCGTAGGAGCCGTGATGAGGGTTCGAACCTATGTGCTGTGAGTTATCAGGCCCCCACTCTCTCTCTGTGATTTATTTCTGTGTTATAAATAGGTAAATATATGGATAGATAGGTAGACAGATGAATAGTTGGATGGAGGGATAAGTGGATGGATATATAGATAGATAGGAAAAAAGTAGATGGATGGAAAGAAAAATGGATGGATAGAGAGATGAATAGATGGAGGGATGTATAGGTTTAGTGATGAAAAGATGGAAGGATGTATAGGTAGAAAGATGAATAGAAGAATAATTAGATGGATAGGTAGATGGAAATATAAGGGAGAGGATAGATGGGTAGAAAGATGAGTTGGTGCAAGGATAGATAGATATATAGATGAATAGATAGAAGGATGGAAAAATAGATGGATAGAAAAAACAGATTGATTGATAGAAAACTTGATGGATATATTGCTTGAAGGATAGATAGCTGCACACATGGAGGGAAAGAATGATAGGTGGATGGATAGATGATATATATATATATATATATGGATAGAATGACAAAAAGATTGATAGATGATAAGGCAGATGGACAGATACACGAATAGACGTATGGAGAGAATGATAGATGGATAGATAGATATATGGATATATGGATGGCAAGATAGGTACATGGATGGATTGATGAATATATCTTAATTGAATGGATAGATTGTTGGTTAAATAGATGGATAGATAGACTGAGAGATCAATGATCTATAGATGATAGAAGAACATGAATATCTAGATGTAAAGATAGATGGATGAATTGATAGATGGAATGCTGGATATACAATGGAATGAATGATGTATAGATGATATATGGTATAGATATATAGATGGATGGATTGATAGATGAATGAATAGATAAAAGGTGTTGTGGGTTGTTTGGTAGTGTGGTGGGGCGTGTGGTAGTATAGTGGGGTGAGTGGTAGTGCGGTGAAATGTGTGGAAGTTAGGTGGGGTTGTGTGATAGTGTGGTGAGGTGAGTGGTAATGTGGTGAGGGTATGGTAGTGTTGTGGGGGGTGTGGTAGTGTGGTGGGGGGGGGTGTAGTAGTGTGGTGGGGTTGTGAGGTAGTGTGGTGGGGGATGTGGTAGTGTGGTGGGGTTTGTGGTAGTGTGTTGGGGATGTGTAGTATTGTGGTGGAGTGTTTGGTAGTATGGTAGTGTGGTGGGGTGTGTGGTAGTGTGATGGGGAGTGTGGTAGTGTGGTGTGGTTGTGTGGTAGTGTGGTGGGGTGTGTGGTAGTGTGATGGGGAGTGTGGTAGTGTGGTGCGGTTGTGTGGTAGTGTGGTGGGGGTGTGTGGTAGTGTGGTGGGGTGTGTGGTAGTGTGTTGGGGTGTGTGGTAGTGTGGTGGGGTTGTGTGGTTGTGTGGTGGGGTGTGTTGTAGTGTGGTTGGGTGTGTGGTTGTGTGGTAGGTTGTGTGGTAGTGTGGTGGGGTGTGTGGTAGTGTGGTGGGGTTGTGTGGTAGTGTGGTGGGGTGTGTGGTAGTGTCGTGGGTGTGTGGTTGTGTGGTGGGGTTGTGTGGTAGTGTGGTGGGGTGTGTGGTATTTTGGTGGGTTGTCTGGTAGTGTGGTGGGTTGTGTGGTAGTGTGGTGGGGTGTGTGGTAGTGTGGTGGGGTGTGTGGTAGTGTTTTGGGGTGTGTGGTAGTGTGGTGGGGTGTGTGGTAGTGTGGTGGGTTGTGTGGTAGTGTGGTGGGTTGAGTGGTAGTGTGGTGGGGTGTATGGTAGTGTGGTGGGGTGTGTGGTAGTGTGGTGGGGATGTGTAGTATTATGGTGGGGTGTTTGGTAGTATGGTAGTGTGGTGGGGTGTGCGTTAGTGTGATGGGGAGTGTGGTAGTGTGGTGGGGTTGTGTGCTAGTGTGGTGGGGTGTGTGGTAGTGTGGTGGGGGTGTGTGGTAGTGTGATGGGGTGTGTGGTAGTGTGGTGGAGATGTGTGTATTGTTGTGGGGTGTGTGGTAGTGTAGTGGGGTGTGTGGTAGTGTGTGGTAGTGTGGTGGGGTGTGTGGTGGGGTGTGTGGTAGTGTGGTGGGGTGTGTGGTAGTGTTGTGGGGTGTGTGGTAGTGTGGTGGGTTGTGTGGAAGTGTGGTGGGGTGTGTGGTTTTGTGGTGGAGTTGTGTGGTGGGGTTGTGTGGTAGTGTGGCGGGGTGTGTGGTAGTGTGGTGGGGTGTGGGTTGTGTGTGGTGGGGTTGTGTGGTAGTGTGGTGGGGTGTGTGGTAGTAGTGTGGTGGGTATGTTGTAGTGTGGTGGGGTGTGTGGTAGTGTGGTGGGGTGTGTGGTAGTGTGGTGGGGTGTGTGGTAGTGTGGTGGGGTGTGTGGTAGTGTGGTTGGGTGTGTGGTAGTGTCGTGGGTTGTGTGGTAGTGTGGTGGGGTGTGTGGTAGTGTTTTGGGGTGTGTGGTAGTGTGGTCGGGTGTGTGGTAGTGTGGTGGGGTGTGTGGTAGTGTGGTGGGTTGTGTGGTAGTGTTTCGGACATGACAATAGCAATACTGTCGCTCACGTCACAAATAGTAAATTGTCAAATAGGAATTGGTGAGATGTCGGATATTTGAATAGTGATATATTCTTAACAATTTCAACATGATCTTCCTCTCATAAATTTAGGGTGGAAAATAGTTTTGCATAATATGTAGAGTCGGTACACGCCACTAGTATATACAAATATTCATCTTTAACAGCTTTTTTCAATTTCTTACATAAAGTACTGGAATAGTGGTGGTTTATGTATAACAACAGTTAAGGTATCTGTTGACAGGCGAGACAGCCCTTCAAGGGGCAGCCGCAGGTGGTCACGACAACACTGTGAAGGTCCTCCTCGACGCTGGAGCAGACGTCAACGCTACAGATAATGTCGGTAAGAGTCACACTTATGGACCCCAAAATTATATAACACTCATGTCACACAACACACCACACTTATCATGTGACAAAATGCAATATTTATATATTGTAATTTTACCAAAGTAGAGATATTGTAATTTTACCAAAGGAGAGAATGACTGTCTGTTTATAGTAGGTCAAACTTTTCAAATAAAATATTGTCTTAAAGTATTCTCACCATTATTCACTGATTTTTTATAAGACACAGAAAGAGAGAGAGACACAGAGAAACTCAGAAACAGAAACACAGCTGGAGACAGAGAGAGGCAGAGACAAAGATAGAGCAAGAGAATGAAACAGACAGTAGGTAAAAGGATGGATGGATAGACGAATGGGCGCATGAACAAATAGATAAGCCATAGGAGCCGTGATGAGGGTTCGAACCTATGTGCTGTGAGTTATCAGGCCCCCACTCTCTCTCTGTGATTTATTTCTGTGTTATAAATAGGTAAATATATGGATAGATAGGTAGACAGATGAATAGTTGGATGGAGGGATAAGTGGATGGATATATAGATAGATAGGAAAAAAGTAGATGGATGGAAAGAAAAATGGATGGATAGAGAGATGAATAGTTGGATGGATGTATAGGTTTAGTGATGAAAAGATAGATGGATGTATAGGTAGAATGATTAATAGACGAATAATTAGATGGATAGGTATATGGAAATATAAGTGAGAGGATAGATGGGTAGAAAGATGAGTTGGTGCATGGATAGATAGATAGATAGATGAATAGATAGAAGGATAGAAAAATAGATCGATAGAAAAACAGATTGATTGATAGAAAACTTGATGGATATATTGCTTGAAGGATAGATGGCTGCACACATGGAGGGAAAGAATGATAGGTGGATGGATAGATGATATATATATTTGGATAGATTGACAAAAAGATTGATAGATGATAAGGCAGATGGACAGATACACGAATAGACGTATGGAGAGAATGATAGATGGATATGTGTGTGTGTGTGTGTGTGTGTGTGTATGTGTGTGTGTGTGTGTGTGTGTGTGTGTGTGTGTGTGTGTGTGTGTGTGTGTGTGTGTGTGTGTGTGTGTGTGTGTGTGTGTGTGTACTCACCTAGTTGTGCTTGCGGGGGTTGAGCTCTGGCTCTTTGGTCCCGCCTCTCAACCGTCAATCAACAGGTGTACAGGTTCCTGAGCCTATTGGGCTCTATCATATCTACACTTGAAACTGTGTATGGAGTCAGCCTCCACCACATCACTTCCTAATGCATTCCATTTGTCAACCACTCTGACACTAAAAAAGTTCTTTCTAATATCTCTGTGGCTCATTTGGGCACTCAGTTTCCACCTGTGTCCCCTAGTGCGTGTGCCCCTTGTGTTAAATAGCCTGTCTTTATCAACCCTATCAATTCCCTTGAGAATCTTGAATGTGGTGATCATGTCCCCCCTAACTCTTCTGTCTTCCAACGAAGTGAGGTTTAATTCCCGTAGTCTCTCCTCGTAGCTCATACCTCTCAGCTCGGGTACTAGTCTGGTGGCAAACCTTTGAACCTTTTCCAGTTTAGTCTTATGCTTGACTAGATATGGACTCCATGCTGGAGCCGCATACTCCAGGATTGGTCTGACATATGTGGTATATAATGTTCTGAAAGATTCCTTACACAAGTTTCTAAAGGCCGTTCTTATGTTAGCCAACCTGGCATATGCTGCTGATGTTATCCTCTTGATATGAGCTTCAGGGGACAGGTCTGGCGTGATATCAACCCCCAGGTCTTTCTCTCTCTCTGACTCTTGAAGTATTTCATCTCCCAAGTGATACCTTGTATCTGGTCTCCTGCTTCCTACCCCTATCTTCATTACATTACATTTGCTTGGGTTAAACTCTAACAGCCATTTGTTCGACCATTCCTGCAGCTTGTCCAGGTCTTCTTGAAGCCTCAAGCTGTCCTCCTCTGTCTTAATCCTTCTCATAATTTTGGCGTCGTCAGCAAACATTGAGAGGAATGAGTCTATACCCTCTGGGAGATCATTTACGTATATCAGAAACAGGATAGGTCCAAGTACAGAGCCCTGTGGGACTCCACTGGTGACTTCACGCCATTCTGAGGTCTCACCCCTCACTGTAACTCTCTGCTTCCTATTGTTTAGGTACTCCCTTATCCACTGGAGCGCCCTACCAGTTACTCCTGCCTGTTTCTCCAGCTTATGCATCAACCTTTTATGGGGTACTGTGTCAAAGGCTTTCCGACAGTCCAAAAAAATGCAGTCCGCCCATCCTTCTCTTTCTTGCTTAATCTTTGTCACCTGATCGTAGAATTCTATCAAGCCTGTAAGGCAAGATTTACCCTCCCTGAACCCATGTTGATGGGTTGTCACGAAGTCTCTTCTCTCCAGATGTGTTACTAGGTTTTTTCTCACAATCTTCTCCATCACCTTGCATGGTATACAAGTTAAGGACACTGGCCTGTAGTTCAGTGCCTCTTGTCTGTCACCCTTTTTGTATATTGGTACTACATTAGCAGTCTTCCATATTTCTGGTAGGTCTCCCGTTTCCAGTGACCTACTATACACTATGGAGAGTGGCAAGCAAAGTGCTCCTGCACACTCTTTCAATACCCATGGTGAGATTCCGTCCGGCCCAACAGCTTTTCTCACATCCAGCTCCAATAGGTGCTTCTTGACCTCATCTCTTGTAATTTCGAACCTATCCAAGGTCACCTGGTTTGCTGCCACCTCTCCTAGCGCCGTGACTTCTCCCTGTTCTATTGTAAAGACCTCCTGGAACCTTTTGTTGAGTTCTTCACACACCTCTTTGTCATTCTCTGTGTACCTGTCCTCGCCCACCCTAAGTTTCATCACCTGTTCCTTCACTGTTGTCTTCCTCCTGATGTGACTGTGTAGTAGCTTTGGTTCGGTCTTGGCTTTATTAGCTATATCATTTTCATACCTTTTCTCAGCTGCTCTTCTCACACTAACATACTCGTTCCTGGTTCTCTGGTATCTCTCTCTACTTTCTGGTGTTCTGTTATTACGGAAGTTCCTCCATGCCCTTTTGTTCAGCTCCTTTGCTTTCATACATTCCCTATTAAACCACGGATTCTTCCTTTGCTTCTCTGTTTTTTCCTGTCGGGCTGGGACAAACCTGCTTACAGCCTCCTGACATTTTTGGGTGACATAGTCCATCATGTCTTGTACGGACTTGGTTCCGAGTTCTGTGTCCCAATGTATATCCCATAGGAATTTATTCATCTCCTCATAGTTTCCCTTTCGGTACGCCAGCCCTTTGTTTCCCAGTTCTTTTTTGGGGGTGATAATTCCTAGCTCAACCAGGTACTCAAAGCTCAATACACTATGATCACTCATTCCCAAGGGGGCTTCCAACTTAACTTCCCTTATATCCGACTCATTTAGGGTAAATATCAGATCAAGCAAGGCTGGTTCATCCCCTCCTCTCATTCTTGTCGGTCCCTTGACGTGTTGACTTAGAAAGTTTCTTGTTGCCACATCCAGCAGCTTAGCTCTCCATGTGTCTGGGCCTCCATGTGGGTCTCTGTTCCCCCAATCTATCTTCCCATGGTTGAAGTCTCCCATGATTAGTAGTCTGGATCCGTTCCTGCTAGCCACAGAAGCTGCTCTCTCTATTATATTGATGGTGGCCAAGTTGTTTCTATCATATTCCTGTCTGGGTCTTCTGTCATTTGGTGGGGGGTTATATATGACTACTATTATAATTTTCTGTCCTCCAGTTGCTATGGTGCCTGATATGTAGTCACTGAAACCTTCACAGTTCTGAATTACCATCTCTTCGAAACTCCAACCTTCTCTTAGTAGCAAAGCTACACCACCTCCTCCTCTCCCTTCTCTCTCTTTCCTCACTACATAGTAGCCCTGTGGAAACACTGCGTTTGTTATGATTTTCGTTAGCTTTGTTTCTGTGAGTGCTATTATGTCTGGGTTTTCTTCTAGTGCCCATTCTCCAAGTTCACTTGTTTTATTTGTAATCCCATCTATGTTAGTGTACATCGCCTTGAAGCTCACTTTCTTCTGTTCATTTTCATGTCCCTTTCTTGGCAAGCATTCTGCTGGTGTGGGAAGCTGTTCCGTGGGTGAGAGGATCTGTGAGGTGGTTTGCAGGGTCTCAGAGGATTTTGGGGTGGGGGGGTGGGGGTTTAAGGGAAGGGGGGACAGGTAGGGTGTGGGTTAAGGAGATAGGGGGGGACATGGAGGATACGGGGTGAGGGGGGAGGAAGGATAGGGAGGGTATGGGATGAAGGGGGAGGGGGGAGAGGGGGGAAAGGTGGGAGGGGGGACATGATGGGAATGGGGAAGGGGTGTCAGGGTCAGAATGGGGTGGGGGGGGAGGGAGGGTTGGGTGGGGGCAGGTAGGGTGAGGGGAAGGGAGGGTTTCTATGCAGAGGGGGGTGGTGGTGTTGCCCTCCCCCCCCCCTCTGGTGTTGCTGGGATGCTGGTTTTGGGTTCTCCTCTTGTCTCTGGGACTGTTGTGTTGAGGGCTGTGATTTCCTGGTTTGCTCCTCTCTCCCTGCGCTTCCTCCTTGCCTCTGCTGCCCTGGCTCTCTCCTCCTGCGTCCTGTCCCTCTGCAGGAATACTTTTTTGTATCCCTCCACATGCTGCAGATGACTCTTCCTTTCGAGAATGTCCTCCTTCGTGGTTGTGTGTGTGTGTGTGTGTGTGTGTGTGTGTGTGTGTGTGTGTGTGTGTGTGTGTGTGTGTGTGTGTGTGTGTGTGTGTGTGTGTGTGTGTGTGTGTGTGTACTCACCTAATTGTACTCACCTAATTGTGCTTGCGGGGGTTGAGCTCTGGCTCTTTGGTCCCGCCTCTCAACCGTCAATCAACTGGTGTACAGATTCCTGAGCCTATTGGGCTCTATCATATCTACATTTGAAACTGTGTATGGAGTCAGCCTCCACCACATCACTTCCTAATGCATTCCATTTACTAACTACTCTGACACTGAAAAAGTTCTTTCTAACGTCTCTGTGGCT